ATTATCCTTTCTTCCCAGACCTTGGCAACTACCATTCTTCTTTCTGTGCTTTGGACTTCTCCAGGGACTTCATGTAAATGGCGTCATACAGTAATTGACTTTTTGTGGACTGGCTTATTTCACTCAGCTTTATATCTTCAAGGAATTTTAATTTACGTTGTAGCATATTGCAGAAGTTCCCTCCTTTTTAAGGCTAAACCATATTCCACTGTATATGTAGACCACATTTTGATTATCTATTCATCTGTTGATGGACACTTGGGTTGCTTTCACATTTTAGCTGTTGTGAATAATGCTGCTATCAACATGGGTGTACAAATATCTCTTCAAGACCCTGCCTTCAATTCTTTTGGGTGTATTTAGAAATGAAATTGCTGGGTCATATAGTATTCCTATTTTTAATTTTTTGAGGAAACTCCATCCTATTTTTCACAGTGGATGTACCATTTTACATTCCCACCAACAGTGCATAAAGATTTCAATTTCTCCATATCCTTACCAGCATTTTTTGTTTTCTAGTTTTTTTAGACATTAGCTATCCTGATGCGTGTGAGGTGGCATCTCATTGTAGTTTTGATTTCTATTTCTCTGATTATTAGTGATGTTGAGCATCTTTTTATGTGCTTATTGGACACTTGTGTATCATCTTTGGAAAAAAGATTCTTCAGGTCCTTTGTCCAGTTTTGAATTAAGTTCTTTCAGAAATTATATATTCTGGATATTCATTTTTTATCAGATATATGATTTTCAATATTTCCTCCCATTCTATGGGCTGCCTTTTTTTCTGTAGATAGTACCTTTTGATGCACAAAATTTTAAAATTTCCATAAAGTTGAATTTGTCGATTTTTTCATTTGTTGCCTGTTTTGGTGTCATATCCATAAAACATTGCCAAATCTAATATCACGATGTTTTTGTCCTATGTTTTCTCTAAGAGCTTTATTGTTTTAGGTCTTCTATGTAGGTCCTTTGCCCATTTGAAGTTAATTTTTGTTTAATATGGTGTTAGAAAAGGGTCTAACTTCATTCTTTTACATGTGGAAATCCAGTTCTTTACCTGACCTCATGAAGTCACACCCTAAAATGTGCAGTTTAGCATTCAGCTGAAGACTCAGGGAGACCCCTACGCAGATTTCTAGAGTTCTGTCTGCATAGCTCTCTCTTCTCTGATACCCTGTCTCACAAATTCTATTCACTGTTGTCTCTATAAACTCTGCTTCTCTTGCCTCAGTTCAGCAATATTGTCATACTCTGCTTGAATTCTCTCTCCCCGCACAGTGATCCAGAAATTATCTCTGGCAGAAAGCTGGGGGATTCTAGAACTCATTTTCTCTTGTCTTGGTTGTTTGTGTCAGGAGGACACTCCAGGACCAGTGACACCAACATGTCTGGAAGTAAAATTCAGTCTGTATTTGTTTGTTTGTTTGTTTGATAGTGTCTTGTTCCTTGCTTATGCTTTCAGATCCTTCTTTTATATAAATATTTAAAACATATTCATTTTATATTGTCTGACAATTCCAATATCCAAAGTCTTGTATGCCCAATTTAATGTTCGATATTTATTTTTATTTCACTTTGGCTTATATTTTTAAATTTTGGGTTGTGAGCTCATGTTCAACTAGATTCTCCCTGTGGGAATCCTATGAGTTCTAGGCTGAGAGTGAATATCTTTGGAGGAGATTTGTGTTTGTTTCTGTCAGGCCTGGGTTTCCCAGACCTCATAGATAGCATATGTATATGTATGTATGTATGTATGTATGTATGTATATGTATGTATATAGATATACACACATATGTATGTATACATACATACATACATATACATATACATACATACATACATACACATACATATACATATACATACATACATACATACATACATACATACATACATACATACATATACATATGCTGTCTATGAGGTCTGGGAAACCCAGGCCTGACAGAAACAAACATACACAGTGTGTGTATATATATATATATATACACACACTAAACCCCCAAATCTCTGGAAGGCCAACCTGGGTTATACATTGTCAGAAGGATCCTTAACCAAAACATTTCTCTCTGAGACTGAGTGAGACATTCAAGTTCCCTTGTCAGTTTGTATGCATTAAGGGTCTCAGATTTACATTTGGCAGCCTCATTTAAAGCTTAGTGTCTTACTCAGGCCCAAAGTTTTGTCTCACGTCTCCTACAGCCATTAAAGCCCAGGTTCTGGGTCACTGGGATGAACAAAACAGCCTCTGGACCACTGTGGTTTTAGTGCTTGCTTACCACTTGGTTTCTCACATCCTCTTTCAGCCCTCGAAGACTTTCCTCACTACCTGGGAGCGCCAATATGTAATTAAAACAGCATTTGATTTATGTTATTCGATATTTCTGTGTGTTTTGTAATGAGATTTTTTTTCCAGGCCATTTAATCCATACTACAGCTGGGAATGAAAGTCTTATCTTCGTCTCACTGCCCTCCTGGTTCCCCTTTCCTCTGGCCCTAGGTCCACCTCCACACAGAGGAATGAAGTGGAGGAAAGATGGTGGATTTGGCAGCAGGCACTTTACTTAGCGCTACCATGTGCTGACTGTGTGTCCTCTGGCAGTCCCTTCCTTTCTCAGGGCCTCAGCCTCACTCACTATAAAGTGAGAGATTAGATACTCTAATCCCTGGGTTTCCTTCTAGTTTTAATTTTTTTTGACTCTGAGTCTATTCATGTATAGTCTTCCCCTCCTGAGCCTTCTGCTGGGTCAGTCTGAACAAAATGTTCAGTCCTGGGGCTACTGAGCATTACATGTCCCCTTGACAGGCTAAGTACCTGGGAGGTGAGTAATCAGATCACCTTTTACTTTCCTGCTGGCACAGGTAGCACACAACGAGATGTCTTAACAAGACCTACCCTCTAGGCTCTGGCTCTAACTCTACCCTCACTGCCTCCAAAAAGTCTTCCTAAAAACTGAGACCCTTGTATGGGAGAGGACTATTCCATGTCTGGCAAAGATTAGTAGTTGATTGGTAGTGGCTGCCTGGACCTTTGCTGAAGATGGTTTCTGAGGCATCACCTAGATTGAGACCTCTGCTATTGATTAACGATGCCTGGAAGGGCCTGGAGTTAATGGCAGCAGTGTGTGTGATGTTTTTGCCATCTCTGGAGCTTCCACTGGAGTCATGCCACAACTTTTTGCTTTAGAAAGCCTTGGACTTCCCTAAATCTAAGAAAAGAGATGATAGAAGGGAGCTTAAAGATAAAATCCAGCTACTTTCGTCAAGAGTTTGACTTTTTCAGATAATCTCACACCTTTCCATCGTGCCTGGTTTGTTGAGGGTGGTGTTGCAAGGGTGAAGCGTATCCCTCTCTCCTAGTGTTCTCATGGGGAAGGGAGCTTCTCATTTTCTCCCTCCTCCCCCAGGGAACAATTTAATTATGTAGCATTGGACATTCGCTGGGCCCTGTCCTATCAGTGGGAGGCGTCCCTGCTCACATTCAGCTCATTTCAGGGTGGCGAGTACCTGGGTTGGGACAGGGCGTGCCCTTTAGAGATAGGTCTGTACTCCCTGTGCATGCAGCTGTGGACATGGACGGCTGAGCGAGCAGGCCCAACGTTGAATTCAGGGTGGAAGGTAAGAGGGTGAGCAACGTCTTCTTTCCAACCTTTGCAGTGTTGTGCCTGAGGGGCCGGAAGGTGCCTGCATGCCAGGACAGAGGTGGAACTTGCTTCCCCTTGCCTTCTGGTCCTTGTGTGTCCTTGTGCTCAGACAGGGAGGTGGGGAGAGTCATTGGACGCCCAGGACACCTAACAAATATCAAGCCCCTTAAGTATGAAAGGATGCAGGCTTACGAACATAGCATGTTATTTCAAATTCATTTCTAGGGGACAAATGTATAACTTTTTTAAAAAGCCTTTGAATGATACAAAGGATAACAATGAAACCTCAACAATTTCAGATTAACAAAGCATCTATTACAAAGGGAGCACAAGCAGTTAAGTGTAGAGTATGTCACTGAATATCACTCACAGATCAGGGCCTGAAGTCTTTTCTGGGCTTGGAAAACAAGGCAGACCTATGAGGTCCTTGCCCTCCTCCTGGGAGGTGGCTCTGGGAGCCTCCGACAAGTGGGCCCAGAGCTGCTGTACCATCTGTCCCTCTCAAGTGCCACCAGGGCGGTGTCAGCACACGAGAGGGGCTGTCATCTCTGGGCCCCTGATGCTGGTAAGGAATCTTCAGGCCTATTAGGTCAGGCACTGAGGCTGGGCTAAATGGGGACATTAGCAAATGGGGGGCCCAGGGACTCTGGCTTTCCAGGTGCCACCAAAGCGTCCCTGGGTGTGGCCTGTCACTGCTTCTTCAGTCCCACTCCACGGCCCTCTCCTTCTCTTTCCACCTGCCCTTTGTTCTCCCTCCGTCTCGTCCTCCTCCACATTTCTCTCTTCCCGCTCCCTTCCCTCCCGGTCTTTCCCTCCTCATCATCTCATCTCCCCATCTCTCCCTTTCCTCTTCTCTCCTCTGTTCCACTTTTCTCTTTCTGTGTCCCCCCTCCCCCTCTTTTCTCTCACACCCCGATTTCCACCTGGGCCAGAGCCTAAGCCCTTCCCTACCCAGTGAAGGGGAGGAGGGCATAGTTTAGTTGCATCTCAGACGCCCCCGCCCCCCGCCACCTCCAGGGTTAATATCTCATTTGGCTCGGCCCCCTTGGAGAAGTTTGTTTCCTTGGGAGCGTGAGAGTCCCAGGCTGACCTCGTTGGCCACAGGGGAAGCTCTGGGTCGGAGGAACCAAGTTTCCAAAGACTTGGCCTGGAACAGGGCTGCTGGGGGTCCTCTGGCCTTGCAGAGCCAGCCTCGCCCATGGCCTCACCCAGAGGCTGGAGGTACACTTGTTTATTACACAGAGGCTCAGAGAAAGCGGGTAGGGCTGGGAGGCGGGACAGGGTGGCGGGCTGGGTGTGGAAGGAGCCACATCCAGGCCTGTTGCTCTGGGTGGCTGAGGGCCCGAGGGGCTGCGTCACTTCTTGGAGGCCAGTTTCTTCCAGGTGGTTATCTTCCTGCTGCTCCTCCTAGTTTTGTTGTGAGGATGCAGCTCCACATCAGGATGTTTCATCCTAAAAATCAAAATGGAGAGAAGCAAATGCTGAGAAATAGGATGAGAGTCCTGGTCTGGACAGAGCTCCGAGCTGAGCTGAGGTGGATGTGGTCCTCCGCCATGCACAGCTGAGGCCCTCTGGGTGCCACTCCAACCTGGGGGTCCCAGCAGCACCTGTGACTTTTCTAGGTGCTCACAGTTTTGCTTTTCTATCTTCATGAGAAATATTTGATTTTTCACTTCCTAATGAACACAGCCAAGTTAGTGGACTTTTGAAAGGTCTAGGAAGTTTCTGGCAGGGAGACAGCCAGTAGTCTCTACTCTTCTCAGACAGATGGGTCTAGGCTTTGTGGGTTTCACTACAAAGTTTGCAGACTCCAATCCCAAAGGCGTCGATCTCTACCACCCAGACCACTGCCAGCAGCTCCAGAGAGCGGCCTCAACACCAAACCGGACATCGTATTGATAAAGTGGGCCAGAGGTCAGTGATTGTTGGAGATGACCTGTGCCCAGGGGATTATGACTGCCCAAGGTCACTTAGCCCTATGTGGCCTCTGGCCTGTGGCAGAGCCAAGGGCCCTGCTGTGAGACATACTCATTGTGCTGACCTCAGGAGGGCCCCTCAGCCCCAGGCTAAAGTGGCCACCTACCTCTTCTCAGCTTCAGAGGAAGATTCCTCCATCTTGTCCCACGTGTTCAACGAGGAGAAGCTTCCTTGGATGTCTTCCAACATTGCTCTCTTGACTGAGTCAGGGTCTTCCAGGCCCTGGATGGAGGTTGAAGCACTGTAGGGGTGTAGGAAAGGGAAGACAGTGCTCGGTGGAGGCCAAGAGCTGGAGATGCCTGGGCATCAGCCCTCACTGGGAGCTGTCCCTTTAACATTCTAGTTCCTGGAGAGAAAATGGTGTAGATGCTTCTCTAGAGGGTGAGTGAAAGGAGGACTTGACCCCCTGGGGACCCAGAGACTCACTGGAGGTCGGCTTCCCTGGCTTCTTTTTAAAGTCAGGATTGTCCTAACTCTGTGTCCATAACATCTGTATACTCAGCACTGGCCACTGGAGAGGCCTGCAGTGGGGGCGGGAGGGCTTCATCAAGAGAGCAAAGGAGAGAGGATAGGAGGCCAGGCAAATCAGTCATCATGTATAGTGTTATGGGTTGTGTCCCCCGCCTCCCGCAACCTCCCACCCCCAATTTACATATTGGAGTCCTCCTAACCCCTAGTACTCCAGAATGTGGGAAAGAGGGTCATTGCAGATACAGAGTTGAGATGAAGTCATACCAGAATAGGTTGGGCCTCAATCTAATATACCTGGTATCTTTATAAAAAGGGGGACGTGTGGACATACACACAAGGGGAGTACCCTGCGAAGACTGGAGTGATTCTGCCACAGCTCAGGAACAACTCGAATCTGGAGGCCTGGAATAGGTCCTTTGCTAGCATGCTCAGAGAGAGCCTGGCCTTCCCATACCTTCATCTGAGATTTACGAGCCTCCAGAACCACGAGACAATAAATTTCTGTTTAAGCCACTCAGTTTTTGGAACAGTGTTATGGCTGCCCTAAGAAACTAGTAAACACTCAGGGTCACTCCTCACCTTTGTGCCACAGCTCAAGGCTTTGAAGCCATTCACGGTCTACAAACACTTTCTGGGTTACAAGATGGTTTTGAGCATCACAGAAGCCCTGGGAGACGGGCAGCTCAGGGTTCCCATTTTAATGACCAAAGCAGGGAGGAGAGTGGGCTTGCTGGATGACACCTGGTCGGTTCATGGCAGAGACAAGGCTTGCCCTTTCACAGTCTCTTCGTATTTATTGAGTCCCTGCTATGTGACTAACTTAAGGGCAGGGCGCTTCAGAGACAAGAGACAGAACACAAGGGGAGAAGGGAGAGCGGGTCTCTTTCATCATTTTCAGGACCCCGGAAAAATAAAAAATGGAGAAATACCAAAAAGGGTCACATAATCTGGGTATTTCACAATATTTGCATGTGTCAAAATAACGCCTCCCTACATGGCTCACTCTGCTACCCCTTCCCATGGGGAGAACACGCACACGAAGTCCAAGTGACCCCTTGCAACACTGCAACGGAGACAAGGGCAAAAGCCTACCTGAAGCCCTTTGAGAAGTGAGTTCCTTGGGTGGCTTGTGGAGGTGTCTGGGCTGAGCCTAGGGGCACTGGCATCCATCTCCAATACTCCCAGAGGGCAGGGGAAGGGGTAGCAGAGTGAGCCATGTAGGGGCAGGGCCAGGCTGAAAGGCTCCTCCCCGGCCCTCATGCAGGGCCCCAGACCAGGGTGGATGGGGAGGAGGTCCCTGAGCTCTCTGGGTGGCATAGTGTACTTTCTAGAGCCCAGAAAGAAGCATAGCCTCTCTAAATTTCTTCATTCATTCATTCATTCATTCACTCACAACATGAGTATTTACTGAGCACCTACTCCCTGACATAGACTCTAGGAACAGATGCACGCACGGGGCTCTGAGTTTGCAGCCTGCTCTTTAGTCTGCAGTGGCCCCTCCAGGGCAGGGCCTCCTACCTGGTCTCTCTGCTTCTAGCCTCACCCTTTCTTGCTCAGTGTCCATGCTGCTGCCTGAGGGCTTATCTTCCTTGATCTGGCCTTGTAGCTCCCGCTTAAAGCCAGTCCGTGGCTCCCAAACTTCTGCAGGGGCGAGCCCCAACTCCCTGGAGCGATGCCCAGCTCAAAGCCTATCTGAATTTGACCACAAACCACCAGCACATTTTTTCTAACAGCCCTCTTGGCAGCCCCCACTACTAAATCCACAGCTATCCTGCTCTCTGGTCCCCAACGTGTGCCTTGTCTTTGTTCATCCTAGCCCTGCCGAGAGTGTTTTTCCCTCTCCTTTTCTACTGGGCCTCTACTTATACTTCAAGGCCAAGTTCTTGTGTCACCTCCTGTGGGAAGCCCTCCCTGAACTCTTGAAAAGGAATGATTTGCTCCACTGCTTATCATGGTGCTGAGTTCACAGCTCTACGAATCTGCCACCAATCACCTGAGGGGAGGACTTGGCATGGCTTTCAGTAGGTATGAGTGAGTGAATGAACAAATGAACCAAATGGAAGAGACATGAGAGGAACGTACATGAGTGACTAAGACAGTGGGGCCACATGGCCATCCTGCTGGGGTAACAGGAACACTCTTGTTCCTGGTGACAGTAGGCCAGGTGCTTCCCTGGAAGAATGATCTAGGGGTGGAAGTCAAGGTCATCTTTGGTCAAGCATAAGTAGAGGAGGCCATCTAGGGGCCTGCAGCAGGCCCCTCCAGAAATTTCAAAAACCTTTATACTCAGTAAAGTGTCCGCAAGAGCCGGCCCTTAAGGGACATGAAGCCCACCTTTCCATGACATCAAGGCAGCCCCGTTTCTGAGCCCCTGCTCTACTTCAGGAAGGTAACCTCTCTCCATTCAGCCCACTCAGGCCCCCAGTACAGGACAGAGGTGGCTTTAAAACTGCCCTCATCTATAGCGACTGCTTCTGTGACAAACTTGTTATGTCCTTCTTAGTTAGCCCTAACCCAGTCCCTGCCAGGTTCATAAGTCTAAAGCCCACTCTGATCAAGCTACTCCCCAGCTTAAGAACCTTCAATAGTTACCCACTGCCTGTATGATCAAGTCACAGAAGCTCCCCCAACATGCCCTTCCCTGCTTAGCCAGTGCCTGCTTACCCCTCAGCAGGGGTCCCCGCTCCAACAGGTCTTTCCAGGACTCCTCATGAACTGGTCCGCAGTCACCTCATAATGCATGGAGAGCCTGGGCATTGCCTCATTCTGCAGGCTTCTACTTTCTCCTCTCCACGAGTTGACAGGTCTTATCTCACCCACCAGGCCTGGCCTATGCCTCACATGTGTCTGGATCCTCTAACAGAGTGGCTTCACACAGAGCAGGTCGGCAACGGGCTCACAGTGCCACAAAACCCTGGAGCTGGACCAGAGCTGTGCTGAGAACTGCCACGGCTAGTTAGGGACCAGCTGCCTGGCTGTGGAGGTGGGGAGGCAACTTAGGACAGGGAGGGAAGTTCGAGGGCCAGCTCTGCCATGCAGTGTCCCTGTAAACACGCAGAGCTCACACACTCTTCCAAGGGCCCGGGTTGACCCCTCTTTTGCAAGTTGAAGTACTTGAGGACAGAGTAAGCAAGGCCTTGGGAGGTAGGCTCCAGGTGTGCTTCCTGGGGTGGAGGGAGGATGCTGGTGTAAGCAGCTGGCAAGGGCTGAGTGCCTCTCTCAGAGCAGCATCACTGTGGGAGGGTCTGGAAGTGGCTGGCTCCTCCCTGAGCACTGGCCCACTCTTCCTATCCCCATCTTCAAAGAGGTCCTGGCAGGGTCAGCTGAGGAGGGCGTGTGCCCCCAGGACAGCTGACCTGAGGAGAGACCTAGGCTTCCTGACACCAAGCCCCAGCCCTCCCCTGCCTATTCGCCTCTGCTCCCATTCAGCCTCCCTTTGCCTCTTCTCAGGTGGGTGAGAGGTAAGAGTGTTACTAAGTGACACAACTGTGAAGAGCTTCCCCTCACATACGGATGGTACTTTATAGTCTACTAAGCCTATGGGGAGGGTGTTAGGCATTTACATAGCACTGTGCCTTTCCAGCCTGTAATGTACTCTGCACTTCACAGAGCACTTGACAGTTTATAAGGCACTTCATCATTTATAGAGTGTCTTGTGGTTTACAAAGTGCTTTACAGGGCGTAGGGTACACTGCAGTTTATAAAGCACTTTACAGGGCTTCCCGCTTACAAAGTGCTTCGGAGCAGGTCCATCTCTCAGGTTGGGCAGAGGGCACGCAGCACTTGACAAGATGTTTTGCAGGTTACAAGGCACATCGCAGCTTCCAAAGCCCTTGGTGATTTATTGGATGTGTGGCACTTTACAAAGGACTTTGTCTTCTGTAGATTTCCAGACAGTTTGGAAGGTGCTCTGTGGTTGACTGGGCCTGTTATAGTTTGCACAGAGCTTTGCAGTTTACAGGGTACACGTTTTGTCATTACAGAATGCGTCTTCTCTTACAGCTTTTGATTCTCTCAACTCACTCCTCTAAGAATGGTCCTGAAAGAATGATGTCCTCAACCCAGAGAGAGACAACTGAGGCCCAGGGAGAGAAAGTGACATGTCTGAAGCCATGTCTGTGCCATGGCCTGGCACCCTGCCTCTGCAGGGCGCTTCCCTGTCCTCACTGGCTCCCTGTCCCAGTGGGAGGGGTACGCGAGGGGCACCTCCTCCCAATCTCCCATATCGCCAGCAGCTGGGCTTGGATTATACGGTTTCATGCTCCTCGCTCTACCATTCTGTGCTGGGCCCCAAGCCGGCCCCGTGGGCAGCATGGCAAAGGAAGGTCCAGGTGGCAGAAACTGCAGTGACAGCAGGATGAATCTGTGCTCTGTGGCCCTGAGGTGTGGACTGGGCTGCCTCCCCTAACCCCTTCAAGTCCTGGGGACACAGAGGTGGCAGGAAAGCAGTCCCTGGGAGTGGTTCTCTTTAGACTGCCTGGGCTTGGGCTTGGCAAATTGCAGTGAGAAGGATGGGCCATGGCTTGGCATTTCTTAGGAACTCAAAGCACAGCTAATGGAGAAATGGAGTCAAATCCAGTGGGGTGCAGGGAAAGGATCCCCAGGTGAAAGCTGCATAGCATAGTGTGCAACCAGGACAGGGAGGGGCATCTCTGCAAGGCCTCACAAGGCCTCCGCCAGAGCCAGGCTGTGATGGCAAAGGAGGTGCATTCATACCTGTGTAGTTCACCAGCTAGTAGTGGACAGTCTCATTGCTCTGTGAATGAACTCTGGCCCTGGATTATGGAGACCAGCCTTTCTTAAAGGTCCCAGCACTGAGGGTGAGTCAAAAGCTCCAGCCTCCCACAGCCTTGCTCCTCCAGGGCTTCTTCCAGAGAGAGACAGGGGCCCTTCTTCACAAAACTGCCCAGGCCGCCCTGCTACTCAAAGCCCCCACAGTCCCGGCTGCACCTGGAAAAGGGACGGCTGCCTTGGCGAGAATCAGGTGGCCCTATCTCGTCTCTAGCTAACATGGCCCACATCCCCATCATTCCCCTCCAGGGGCTCCTGGCATATAGAACTTCTTGGTGTTTGTTCCTGAGAAAGGTGGAGGGCGGGGGGGACGGAGTCAGGGGTTGGGGTTGTCTCACTGCTCTCTCTGCTTGGCCAGCCCTTCCTGCCCTCTGTCCCTGCCCACCTACCCCCATGTCACATCCTGCCCTGACCTGGTCCCCACTACAGCACAGTGTGCCTCTGCTCTCAGGCATGGATCGCAGGCCTATAACAACATGACCACGCTTGGCCATGATGAGGACTCCCCAAGCCAATGAGGAAGTGGGGAAGATCAGCCGCCCAGCATTCGGGTGGACACAGCCCAGACTCGCAAGGCAGCCACCTCCTCAAGATGCCGCCCCCTGTGTATTCTCACTGTCCTTTCAGGCTGCTGCCCACTTAGCCGGGAGCTAAGGTGAAGCAGTTCAAGGTCTTATTTGCCTCCAAATCCCCGGTGCAGAACACAAGGCTGGGCATATAGTAGTTGCTCGGAAAATGAAGGAGTGGCATGACTTTTATGCTGAAAAAGGGAGCCATTTCTGGAGAGAAAGAGCCTCCCATCACTGGAGGTATGTGAAGGGCAGCCTGATGACCTTGGCAGGCAGCTATCGGCACTCCGTCAACCAGCCCTTCCTCTTTCTGACCTAACCTCTGACACCCTGGGATGGAATGAAATTAGCCCTAGGTCATTATTCATTGCACGCTTCCCAAGGGCTTCCTATGTGCTGGGCCCCGGGGTGAGGGAAGGACAAAAGAGAAGAGAGATGCAGTTTGTAGGGCATGTGACACAGGATACCTAGCCCTCTGGGCTGGCATAGCTTAACACATGCAAAGAGACCTACAGTCCCTTCTCAACTCTATGGTGCTCCTCAGGGCAGAGCTGTCTCTAGGAGACCCTAGCCCCACAGGCCTTCATGAGTCTGGGGCCTTACTGGTGGCCCCACAGCCTCCCCCAATTGCCCTTGGCCTGGCCTACCCCTACTCTTCTGCTCTGTTTGTCACAACTAGTCTACTTGCTAGGCAGGGGCCCACTCCAATCTAAGCTGGAGCTCAAGGATTCAGTGAGGAGCCCTGTCTCCCTGGGCAACCAAGCTCCGTCACTAGCCACAGACAGACCCAGCTCTTCTTCCTTGCTCACAGCCCTTGCTTCTCCACAGTGTCCTCACAGACCCCATGCCCAGACTGAGGACTGTCTCTGTGGCCGGCTCCTCTGAGGAAAGAGAAGGTGTAAGTACCCCTAGTGCAGTGACTGTCCCAGCCTTTCCAGATCTAGCTCCCAGCTCTGCTCCCTCCCTTAGTTTACTCTGCTGATCTGTCTCTCCTCCCCCTACCTCCCTCCCTACCACAGCTATATAAAAGCAAACAGATTAAAACTCCAGGTGAGGAAGACATGATTCTTACCAAAGGATGGTGAGCCCCACCCACATCCCTAGCTCTGAATGCAAAACTGTCTGCAAACATCCTTCTTGAAACAGAAGACCCAGAAATGCAACATTTGCACTCCAGGCGCTACACCTCCCTTGCATTACACACCGATACTTCTGCCTTCTGATTTTTTTTTCAGCATAATAGTCTGTCATGCTGGGATGTCCACATCCACTGACTGTAAACCTTCCAAACCTAAAGGTAATCATTTGTTCTCTCTCTTGAACCACCTCTTGGTGGCTGAGTGTACTGTACACCTCTATTCGGTCATTTCTCCCACTCAAAGGCACAGCTGAGCAGCAAGCCTCCCATGTACTCATCCAACTTGCATATTTAGGAAAAATGTGCACAGGCCAAGCGCTGCCAGAGGTCTGCCCTTCATGCTGCCACTGATCACCGTCCACTGGGTGTGGCTGAACAAGCAGTTACCCTTGAGCCACGTCTATCCATCTGGTCCATGAGGACATCAAGAGCTTTTACCCAGTGTCTTTCCAAATCCAAACAATCTAGGTTGACAGTGAGCCTCTTGCTATTGATCTAGCTGCCCTGCTGGAAGAGGAAATGGGGTCCATGGGTGGTTTTAAATCGTGTCCACAAATTCTCCAACAGTCCTCCATCAAGAGGTGAGGTCTTGCTTCTCTCTCTTAAAGTTGAGGTGGTCCTAGGGACTCACATGCAGGGGAAGGTGGTACTACATGACTCATGACGATGAATCATAAAAAGCAACGCAGCTCCCACCTGGCTCTCTTGGGACCTTGCTCTTGGAACCCAGCCGCCATGTTGTGAGGAAGCCCAGGCCACGTGGAGAGGCCACGCATAAGTATTCCAGCTGACAGCCTGCATCGACCGCCAGCTGTGTGAGTGAGCAGGCCTTTCAGAAGACTCCAGCCTCAGCCAACTTCTGACTTCGACTACACAAGGAAGAACCAACGAACTTAGCCCAGTTGGCTTCCCAACTATCAGAGGCGGTAATAACAAACAATTGTGTTGTTTCGCACCACTAAACTTGGCGTGGTTAGTTACACAGATGTAGATAACAGAACTGTTGTTATGGAAACATTTTCTTGAAGAGATTCCATTCCCTTTTTCCTTAAGTGTTTTTAAACTGTCAACCTAATAAGCCATTCTACAATTAGGAAGAGTTCTACTGGTTTATAGTTTCAGGAATCTGCCCCTTTCCATTTTCAAGAACCTAAACCATCTGTGTGTGCATGTATGTACGTATGTATGTGTGTAGTTTTCTGATTCTTTCTCTACCATTCCTCAAAAATTGTTGAAAAAGTCCTTTCAGAAACCTTGGATATAACAAATTAGGAGCCCAGAACTCATTTTAGTAATAGCAGCAGCAGCAGCAGCAACAACAACATTAACAACTGTAATTTATAATCTCTAAGTAAATGCCAGTGATGTGCCAGCACTTCACATATATTGACCCATCTAATCCTCACAACCCAATACAGGTAAAACTATGTTTATTCTTGCTGAGGTAAACAGAGAGTAAGTGGTTTGCCCAGTCCGCACTGCCTCTTTCTCCTGGCCCCTCGCCTGTCTTAGGCATAGGCTGCCCTTTCTTATTAAAGGCCATCCTCATTTGAGGACAGTAGAAGCCAAATAAGATCTGTGTCTTTTTGTAACTAGTTTTTGACAACACACACTCCCCATCTACACACCCCCAAGAGTCAGACTGGCCTTCTGAATGTTTCTGAAAATGCCTTTGCCTGTTTTCTTTGGCCTCGGCTCATCTTCAGTTTGCGCCTTCCTAGAAAGCTGTGTGAGGGGCCTGGTGGGAATGGGGGCTGCCGGACTCAGTGCAGTGGGAGTGCAGTCGAAGGCAAGCCCACGTCTGTGGGCAGGTTTACAAACCACTTCAGGAAACACGCTTTCGTAAGTTTCTCACAACAACATGGCAAGGTGGGCATTACTACCCTCATTTCAAAGGTGAGGAAAGTGAGGATTAGGAAGGCAAACAGATTGGCCCAGGTCACCCAGCTAGTAAAGAGCAGAGCAGGGGCTTCAGCCTCATCTCGAGACCCCTGAACCAGTCAGTTTTCCACAGTACCATGAGGCCCAGACATTCTAGAATCTGGTCCCATTTCCTAATACAGCCTTCAGCAACCTCATGACCTCCAGGCTCCTTCCCTGGACCGGGCAGTATGCTTCTTGAACCGAGAGACCTATCTTTGTTCATCTCACCCAAACGGGGCCCTGGCAGTGCTCAGCAGATGGGCATCACCCAGTTGAAAAGCCTGAGCTCAGAGGCTGAGAGGCTGACTTAAGCCAGGCCACGCTACTTCCTTTTACAAGGTCCTGAGATCACTCTTTGAATGACCCTTGTCTATGTGGCTATGCTGGTAAACGAAGCAGAAGCTGGACTGGAATCGCACACAGCATGGGATGGGGTTGGGTGCAATGGGACAAAAGGCAAGAATGTCACAGGGGCCCTTGCCCAAACCCCTGTCTTCATTATCTCTCCTACAGAAACTAGCACCGGGCAAATAATCCTATGTCTTCCTTCTCCAAGAGGGCCCTTTTCCCAAGCTTGTGCCCCAAGGAAATCAAAAGCATGGCTTTGTTCACCCCTTTCCCCGCCTCCTCGCCCCACCGCCTGCTCTCATTCCTGCCCTGTCCACCTGTGAAGACCTCCCATGCCAGCTTCTACTGTAGGCTGCAGGTTGAGGCTATGGTCCCCATCTCTGCCCCCTCCTCACCTCACTCCTACTTTACTCACCAGAGCCCCTCCCACAATGCCAACTCTTCCCTCCCCTCCCCCCGCTCTCGCAACACCCCCCCCCACCACCCACCGTCCCAGTTTTTCCTGTTTTACCTAAATTTGTAGTTCTCTGGCAGGAAGTAGCCCATCTTACAGTCCTGTCGGGCCTGGAAGATCTGTTTCAGCAGATTCTGCTTGCTGAAGCCATATCCATTCAAAACGCAGCCCCCAAAAAGAAGCTTCCCGCCAGCGAACATCTGCTTACAGATAGGAAGGAAACAGAGAAGAAAGGCCCTCAGCACACCAGCACTGAATCTCAGGACAGGGCCACGGGCTCTCAGAGCTTTGCCAGATCCAGGCCTTTCTTTGGTGGCTAGGGAAGGTGTATTACCCTCCCTGAGTGTGGCTGAGCCTGTCCCCCAACACCCCCGACCCAGGCCACCCGGGTCAGAGGGCAGCCCCAACACCCTAGCCTCTGCCCCCTGCCGGACTGACTAGCTCTTCACACATGTTTTTCCAGAACCCTGGGGCCGAAAGGGTGTTTTCCTGCTCAGAGGCAGCTGGCCAGCTCTGCTTCTAACCAACTCTGATGCACTGACCAGCTGGGCCCATAGGATGGGAGTCCCTTGAGGGCAGGGATCCTGTCCTACAGCTCTTTGTGCCCCCACCCTCTACGTGTCAGTCTCCAACAAGTAGAGACCCGTCCAAAGGTTCTCTACTTGTTGTGCAAAGATATTCATTAGTGTTGTCCTGACTAAAATAAGTAAATAAATAAATAAAAATAATCTAAAAAGGCCCCCAAAAGTGGCACAGGTAGAAAAATAAAATGACAGACTCAACACAGCAGTTAAAAATCAGGTGTTACAAACGATTATAAGACACGGGGAAATGCTCATATCATTTTAATTAAAAAAGCAGGACCCCAAAGTCAGAAAAAGACTGAAAGGGCCAGATACCAACACGTCAGCGTGGGGGTGGCCCGGGGCCTCCCGTAAGGCTGGACCGAGCAGGTGCTGGTACAAACTTGTTGCGTGAACAAATGAGGCAATCTGGGTGATATGATGAAGTAACCGCTTTCTAAAATGTATTTTCCAAATTTTCTACAATGAATATATATGTGTTTACAACCCAATGTTTTTAGTAAACAGTTATTTAAATTAAACTTATGAAGAGAATTTGGATTTCCAGTTAAGAATCCCTTCAGTCTCCTGAGATGGGGGACACGTGGGGTCAGGCTGGGGACAGGAGGCCGGGCTCCAGCCTCAGCTTTATGCTCTAGGTGACTCTGGTAAGTCCTTCTGCTCTCTGGGCCTCAGCCTGGGCTGGGAGAGGATCCCATTGGCCCTCCCTCCTATCCCCTCCCCTCCTCCCAATCTGTGACTCCACAGGGGGAGGAGCTGTGGAGACTGGGGTGGCAGGTGTTTGGCGGTGAGTCCCCCTCTGGGCTCTGGCTCACCAGGACCATCCCCTGCACCACAGCATACTTCTTCACCAGCAGGGGCGGGGTCTTCTGCAGGGGGCTGTCCAGGTCATACTGCAGGAGGCGGTAGGGGTCATGCTGGCACTGCCGAGAGAATGAGTGCCTGTCACCCCCACGTGCCAAGAGGACGCACTGAGATTCCCACATTCTCAGTCAGGCCAGGTTCCCACTGAGTCCTGGAGCCCCATACAATACCCTCTCCCAGCTCCGGCTCTAAGAGGCCATTTAGCCCTGTACACACAGCTCCTGTGGCCATCCCAGAGAATGCCTCCGGACAGCCTCTATTGGTGAAGGCTGTCACAGAGACGACTGCCCCCACCATGTGACATCTACTACTAGACTGGCCCTCTTGGGTCTGTGGAACGTGCCTGTTCCCTCAGCCTGAGAGAAGCCCTGCGGAGATTTGAATGTAGAAACTGGGTTCCTGGGTGTACCCATATCCAGGATTCTTTCTCCCCTTACCCCACTGCTGGCTGCCCCTTTGGACACCTCCCAGTCATTAAATCCTTTAACTCCTCTGAATCGAATCAATCCAGAGTAAAACTGTTCTCTTCCTTCTCCTTCTTTCTAGATGCTATGGATCCATTAATATAGCTAATCTGATGCTTTCTGGTTTTATGTGTCTTTTATTTCAGGTGCCTACAGTTGTCCCACCTGAACTTTCAGTGTGAAACTCAGAATCACACCTGGTGTTCTAGCTATCAGAGCAAGAGAACATCAGGAAATGTTTGTCTTAAGACACCGAGTGGTGGAACCAGAGTCAGTGTAACCCAAAACCACCATCCGAGTCTGCCCTCTGCACTTCCCCAACCCTGGGGCCCATCCACTGTGGCCTTCTGCCAGCTCAGGCCAGGCCCTGTCCCGGCTCATACTGATCATGACTGGGCTGCACTGCCATGCGTTCCTGTGCTTACAGACAATTATTAGTGAACAATTAATAGTTCCAATTTAAACTAAAGTCAACTCTAAGTTTAAAACACATGTGGTTTCAATGTATGAGACTAGAAAAAAGCCTCTGATACCTGATCAGAAAGGTTCCAATGCCAACTCCTGGCACTGGCTGGGGGCAGGCCTGAGGGTGAGAATGTCAGGGTCAGGGAAGCAGCACTCCTGGAAGGAGGGCTTGAGAGGGTGTCCCCAGGGTGTACGCAAAACCTCAGAACTTGGGACTGCAGCCAAGGGGAGACAGGACAAAACAATGGATTTGAGAGGAGACCAGGGCGAAGAGGGCTTGAAGGAAGTCAGCAGGTGGGTTGGAAGCTCTCATGCTCCCTATTCCCAGACCTCTGCTCTAGCTGGTCTGGAGATAGGGCCATCCCTTGAACTGTGCTGGAACAGCTGCTGACTCGGGATGATGATGGGGTTTAGAAACCACTATGCAGTGACGAGGTGGGGTTGGGTTCCATGTGGCCACGACCGATCAAACTTTGGAACTCAAACCACTACGCAGCGATGAGGTGGCCACGACCGATCAAACTTTGGGACTCAAACCACTATGCAGCGATGAGGTGGCCACGACCGATCAAACTTTGGGACTCTAACCACAACAAACTGGGACCTTGAGTGGCCTTTCCCCTGTCCACCTTGACACAGGCCACTGGCTCTGCCAGGAACACTCACCCACCTGCCAAAACCCTCTCATCTTGGGGAATTCTCCAGCCCTTTAGAGGCGCAGTCCCTGTTCCCCAGCTTCCACATGCCCACAGCTGTCCTTTCATGGCCCTCATGGGGGCATGCTGTAGTTAGTGCCCCACCACACTGGGAGCCCCTCCAGGGCTGTGTCTGAATCGACAGTGGAGGTGGGGGCCTGGCACAGGACCAGCACACAGTACTTGGTCACTGTCTACAAACATTCCTGAGCCCTGAGGATCCAGTGGTGAGTAAGGCTCTGCTCTAAATACTCACACCAGTATATTACCACAAACTGCAGTGAGTGCTCTGAAAGAAAACAACAGGACCCTGACATTGTCTCACGCTCAGAAAAGGCACTCACCTTGATGTGGTGACATTTAACCCGGGACGGGACCACGAGAAGGAGAGAAAGAAGCAGGGATGAAAAATGCAATGCAAACAATAGGAAGTGTGCGGAGGTAGAGGAGCAACCTCTCAGCCAGGTGCTCAGCCAGTCCCAGTCCTCCATGGGGGTCTTCCCCCACTCGCCTACCAATCCCCAAACCCAAGGACCTCTGCTGCTGGGACCAGGACCCACCTGGATGCAAGGCGAGGCACGGCCCTGCTGCCGGTGACTGTAGAGTGTGTTGAGAAGCCATTGGAGTTGCCCCGTGCTGGTGGGATTCTGGCCTGACACTATCCCGAATACCAGCACCTGGCTGGGGTCCCGGGGCGCCGACAGGAAGCGCTCCAGTTCCACATCAGAAACCAGAGGTGCCTTCACTACGCACTTGCAGCCAGCGCGGATGTCTTCCTTACAGATGAGCTTCCGCAGCACCAGTGGGCAGTCAGAGGGTGAGGCTGCCCACCTGGTGGGGCTGCGTGCCTCCTGTGCCTTCTCTCTGCAAAGAGGAGCAAGTGGGCAGGCATTCAGCAGGTGGAGCACAGGTCCCTCTCCCTCCCCATGCCCAGCCCCTGTCTTCACATGGACAAAGGCCCCGCTGCAGAGTCTAGGCTGCAGCAGTTCTAGCCTGGTCTCTGCCATCAATGTACAGCACTGACTTCGATGGGTCCCCTGAACTCTCTGGGCCTCAGTTTCCTCAGGTGCAAAATGGGATTAACAAGTTACTCATTCACTCATCCATCTAACAAAAACTTTGGAGTCATCCCGAACTCCTTTCTCTCTCTCACATGCCACACTGCATCCAACCTATCAGCAAGCCTGTCTGCTCTACATTCAAGAAAGATGCAGAGTTCCACCACTTTTCCTGCCCTTCACTCCTATAATATGGTCCAAGTCTCCATCACTTCTTGCTTGGATGCCTGCAAGTATCTCCTAATGGGTCTTCTGCTTTCTCCCCTGCTTCCTCTTCAGTCTATCCCAGCAGACTGAGGGATCCTCTTAAAATCTGTGTCATATCATGTCACTGCTCTCTTTGAAATCCTCCAGTGGCTTTCCACCTTTCACAGAATAAAAGCCAAAGTCCCTACAATGCCCTTCAAGGCCGTACACACTCTGGTCCCCTTCTTTATCCTCTTAACCTCTCTTATTCTTCTCCAACATCTTACCTTTGTTCATTGAGCTCCTCCTACTCTAGCCATGGCTTAATCTTCAACCTCAGGGCCTTTGTTCTTGCTGCTCCTTCTGCCAGCTCTGCCTTTTCTCCAGCTAGCCACACAACTCATTTTCCTGACTCTTTTATGTCTTTATGCAAATGCCACCTTCTCAGTAAGACTTTCTCTGACAGTGCCATTCAGGATTGCATCCCTCTACCCCCAACACTTTTTCCACTTCCTTGCCTCATTTTCCTCCTGAGCATTACTTACTATCTAACACACTCTACATGTTCCTTATTTATTTTGGCAATTGCACTTCGCCATCCCAATAGAGCATAAGTTCCATGAGTTCATAATTTTATTCTTATCATTACTACAACCTTACATTGTTGCTAGCATTTTAGAGCACCCTCAGCCCTTGGTATAGACATTGTCTTGGCTAGTTTTGTAATAACCTGTGTAATAGGCTAGGCAGAAAGTGTTATCACCATTTATAAATCAGGGAACACAAGGCTCCCCCTGGGTGAATGGATTGCCCAAGTTTTTATGGTAATTAAGTGGTAAGGGTCCGGATTAGAAACTGGGTCATTCTAAAACAAGAGCAACGCAAGTAATTTACTACTCAGAATTTTTCAAAGGCTATTTGATACTAATAAATACTTGCTAAACAAACTTAAGAATTTATCTCTTGTTCAAGAGCCTGAATATCTGGGGAGGAAAAGGTCGAATCTATTAATCACAACTTACACAACGATAAACCCAAAATGGATCAAGGTTTTAAATGTGGGAAAATTAAGCCAAAAAAGTTCTAGTAGAAAATAAGGGAGAATCATTTTTATAATTTTGGAGCAGGGAAGGCCTTTCATAATTAAGACTTAAAATTCCAGAAGTCATGATAGAAAAAAAAATTGATAAATTTAACTACACAAAAGAAAAAAATCCCAAAATGCTGACTGTTAAAATCATCACAAGCAAAGACCAAAGACAAATGATAGACTGGGAAAAATATATGAAACTCCTATCACAGACAAGTGACTAGATTCCCAACTATGTAAGAACTGTAAATGAATTAGAAAAAGTTAATAACCCAATAAAATATGGACAAAAAAGTAGACACAAAATTCACAGAAAAATATACAGAAATAATTTTTTAAATTATAAAAAAATAGAAGTGACGTCACTGAAAATGGCAGAGTAGTGAACTCCTAAACTATGTCCCTTCATTAACCAACAATTAAGCTGGCAAAACCTGTCAGAATCAACTTTATCAGAGCTCTACAACAATCAAAGAAATACTTAGTGAAGAAAGAAACTACTAAATTTTGGTAAGAGAGTGTTATGATATTTTAAGGAACCCACCTACCATCCCCTACTCCCCAGCTTGGTGGCATCCATGGGAATGGCAGCCCATGTTCCTGGTGAGGCTTGCTGGTACCAGAAGTGTTATGGACTTTGTTCTCAAGAAATTGTGGTTCTGTGGTTTGACCTGTCTGGAGGTTCCCTGAGGGATTGGCGAAGGAGCCTGCCTCTGTTTCGCCCACCTTGGAACTTTCTCAGTAATGGAACAGCCTCCTGGGCAGCATTTGTTAATAGCATTTAAAGGGAAATATACCAGACACAACCTCCTAGTGCAAGGAATAACAGATAGTGCAAACAGCAGGTAGACTAAAAGCTTGGGAAGAAAGAGTCTGGGGAAAAAAATACATGAGAGAATAGAGGCTTTAAAGAGTTCCATGTATACCAGAGAATCTAAAGGGGTACATGCATTCCCACGGTTAGAATCATGTTTAGAAAAGGCCTGAGAACACTTCTAGCTGACCTCTGGGCTCTGTGCAAGTGGAAAGTGAAGGCTAAAGCAGAGTTTAAATAGCCTGGCTAAAAGCACTGAAGGAGTACTCCAACATGGAAGAGTCTATTTGCAAAGGCTGGAGACTTTTATTTTTGTTTGTTTGTTTGTTTTTTGGTTCCAACTATTTAAGGAAGTCTCTGTCAAATTTAATTAGTTGACCACTAAGCTAACCAAACAGAGACTTCCGTGACCACATAATAAAGAATGCAGTCTTTATAAAAGTAGTGTAGAAAAATCACTAAACAAACAATTACAAACTATAATCAACAACCACAAACCCTGGAGAGAGGGTAGAATTTGATTTCTAGAGTTACCACCTTATAATGTTCAAAATGTTCAGTTTTCAACAACAACAAAAATTTATGAAACAAAGAAACAAGAAAGTATGGCTCATTCACAGGATAAAAGAAATGAAGAAAAACTCTCCTTGAGGAAATCTAGATACTGGACTTTTTAGACAAAGATTTTAAGTCAACTGTTTTAACTATGTTCAATGTGCTAAAGGAAACTGAGGACAAAGAACTAAAGGAAACCAGGAGAACAGTGTCCCAACAAATAGAGAATTCAATAATAAAGAGATAGAAACTATAAAAATAACCAACCAGAAATTCTAGAGTTGAAAAGTACCATAACTGAAATGAAAAATTCAACCTCGGATCTGAACAGGCAGAAAAAAGAATCAGCAATCTTAAAGATGGGACACTTAAGATCACCCATCTGACCAGCAAAAAGAAAAAAGAATGAAGAAAAGTTAATAGAACTTAAGATACCTGTGGGACACCATCAGGAATACCAACTTACACATAATGGGATTTCGGAGAGGACAAGAGAGAAAGGAGCAGAAAGAATATTTGAAGAAATATTGCCAAAAACTCTCCAAATTTGAGTTTTCTCAAGAAGCTCATAAGCATCAAGTAGGGCAAATTCAAAGAGATCCACATGAAGACACATTATAATTATAAAACTGTTGGAAGACAAAGACAAAGAGAATCTTGAAAGCAACAAGAGAAAAGTGATTCATTACATACACAGGATCCTCAATAAGATTAACAGCCAATTTCTCATGAAAAATCAGAGGCCAGAGGCAGTGGGATGACATACTTAAAATACTAAAAGAAAAAAAAAAACAAATGAGCCAAAATTTCTATATTGAGCAAATTTATCCTTCAAAATGAAAGAGAAATCAAGACATTTCCAGATAAACAAAAGCCGAGAGAGTTTGTCACTAGTAGACCTGCCTCACAAGAAATGCTGAAGAAAGTCCTTAGATTGAAATGGAAGAATACTAGACAGTAACTTAAACTATATGAGAAAATAAAGAACACTGGTAAAGGTAACTATATAAGTAAATATAAAACCAGTATTATTATCTTTTTAGTTTGTAACTCCTTTGTTTTTTTTTCTATATGGTTTAAAAGACAAATATACAAAATAATAATCATAAATTCATGTTAGTTGGGCACACATTTCATAAAGATATAATTTGTGACAAGAACATGGTGGGGGTACAGAGCTGTATAGAGCAGAGATTTTGTATATTATTAAGCTAAATTGGTATTAATTCAAATTAAATTGTTATTGTAATCCCCAGAGTAACCAATAAGAAAATAACTAAAAATATATACAGAAAAGGAAATGAGAAGGAAATCAAAACTGTATGTATGCGTCAGGGTTCTCCAGAGAAACAGAAACAATAGAATATATAGAAATATATGTAAGAGGAAATTTATGGGAATTGGTTCACATGGTTATGGAGGCCAAGAAAACCCACAATCTGCTGTCTGTATGCTGGAAAACCAGAAATCCAGTGGTATAATTTAATCTCAGTCCGAAGACATAAGAACCAGAGGAGCCAATAGTGTAATTCCAAGGGACAAAGCCTAAGAACCAGGAGATTGCTGTATAGGTCCTGGGTCCCAAAGACCCAAGAACCAGGAACTCTGATGTCCAAGGGCAAGAAAAGATGGATTTCTCAGCTCAAGAAGAGAGAGAAGGAATTTGCCCTTTCTTTATTTTTTAGTTTTATTCAGGCCCTTAGTGGACTGGATGATGCCTACCCATATTGGTGAGGACAAATCTCTTTAAACTGTCAACTAAATGAAATGCTAATCTCTTCCAGAAATGTCTTCACAGATGCACCCAGAAATAATGTTTATACTTAGCCTAATTATCCCTTAGCCCATTCAAGTTGAAACATAAAATTAACCATCACACCATGATACATACACACACACGTACATAGAACCAAACACAAAAGTCAACAATGGAGGAACAGAGGAAAAAAGAATATAAGATTATAGAAAACCAATAGCAAAATGGCTAATGTAAGTCCTTCCTTAATAGTCATTACTTTTAATATAAAGGGATTAAAATCTTCAACAGAAGTCAGAGATTGACAGAATGGGGGGGGGGGGAAGCAACCCATGATCCAACTATATGCTTTCTACAGAAGACTCATTTTAGATTCAAAGACACAACAGAGTTGCAAGTGAAAGG